ATATATATATATATATATATATATATATATATATATATATATATAGAGAGAGAGAGAGAGAGAGAGAGACGGTTGTTGTTTGTTGTGTGTTTCTTTTTTTGTTTTAATTTGTCTTATGTGGCCTCGCTATCAGCACTAGGGCGGTAGGTAGAGAGAGAAAAAAAGAGAAAAAGAAAAATATAAATAAAACAAATAGAGACAGAAATACACACAAAACAGAGAAAGAAACACACACACACAGAGAACAGACAGAGAACAGAAACAGAGAGAGACAGAGAGAGAAACAGAGGGAGAGACAGAGAGAGAAAAAAAAGAAAAAGAGAAAGAGAGACAAAGATAAACAGCCACAGACAGAGACAGACGCAACTACGTCATCTGATCTGCATGCAAATAAAATAAAAAACAAAGACAAAGACAAAGAAAAAATAAATAAAAGTAAATAAATAAATATTTGTATTTATTTTTTCTTTTTTTCTTTTTTTTTTATCTCACCAAAGGGCGCAGTCTTCTGGCCGTTGACCGCAACAACTGCCGGCGGCAGCGGAAACTCGAGCAGCCCCTGCGGTATTTCAGGTGTATGTACACCTGGTGCTGCTGCTGCTGCTGCTGCTCCTGCTGCTGCTGCTGCTGCTGCTGCTGCTGCAGGCCAAGCAGCAAAGTAGCGGCTCTCTCTATACCCCCCCTCGTCAACAATACAAGTCTTCGGCCGTACCAGCAACACACGCCCGTCCAGCAGCAGCACGCGGCAGTTGTATTGGCTCTGCAGCAGCAGCAGCAGCAGCAGCAGCAGCAACAGCAGCAGCAATAGAAAACAATAAAAGGAATATAAGCAAAAGCAGCAGCAACTGCAGCAGCAGCAGCAGCAGGAGTAGTATCTGTTGCTGTACCCGCACAAATAGAAACGAGTATGCACCGTGCAGCAGCCGCATCAACACCATCAGCACCAGCATCAGCAGCAGCATCAGCAGCAGCAGCAGCAGCAGCAGCAGCAGCAGCAGCAGCAGCAGCAGCAAACATTACCCCTTGAAAGTAAGCGGGTGCGCCAGTCTCCACGAGTATATCATCGGTCAACCCCGACGCCAGCAGCTTGGCGATGAGCTGCCACGAGTGCAGCTCTGTGTCGCCCTCTAAGAAGTGGTCTTCACACCCGTACCCACACGTCTCCAGCTCAGGCCCTGCAGCAAACACAACCAGCAGCAGCAGCAGCAGCAGCAGCAGCAGCAGCAGCAGCAGCAGCAGCAGCAGCAGCAGCAGCAGCAGGAGGAGTAGGAGATGGAGGAATAGGGGGAAAATTTTCATCGTTTGGGTTGTTGTTCTGCTGTGGCTGCTACTACACTTTTGTGTCTTTTATTACATGTGTTGCTACTGTAGCTGCTGCTGCTGCTTCTGTGCTGCTGCTGCTGCTGCTGCTGCTGCTGTGTTGCTGCTGCTGCTGCTGCAGATATACCGAGCCGGAACTTGGCTCCATCTCGTTTGGCTCTTTCGATGCTTTCAGCAATTCTTTTGAAATTTCCGTCGAAGTCGAGGGCCCACTGGTTGAGTGTACAGACAGCTACACGTACAATATCTGTATCTGCTGCTGCTGCAGATGTTTCTACAGCTGCATGCAGCAAAGGATCCTGCTCAACCTCCACTACTGGCTCAGCAGTACCCTCAGGGGCCCCCAAAGGCACCGGGGGCCCCGACGACGAGGGGGGGGGCCCCCACGAGGGATCCCCTGCATAGACAGAGGCCATTGGGGGCCCCTGCTGCTGCGCGGCCGGCATTTGGCTGCGGCTGCGGCGGAAAGCTTTCGGATGCTGTGTACGTGGTAAGCGCTTCAGATGAAGAAGACTTGAGAGAGAAATTTGTGTATGAAAGATGTTCAAGAAAAACTGGTTATATTTGGTATTTGAGGGGAAATTGCGGTGTATTGACAGCTGAAACCCTCTGATTGAGGTGTAAAAAAAGAAAGAAATGAAGGAAAACGCTCATGAGGATCAATCGGGTTACCGGCAGATTCAAACCGATTTCGTGCAAGTTTCGACAGTGACGGTGATGTGTAGAGAGAATACGAGAGATAAATACTCTAAATAAAGAGAAAAACATAAAATATATCCAAAAGCTGAGAAATTTTATACAAAAATATCGACAAAGAAACAGAAGTGAGGGTCCTCGATCCGCCGCCGCTCGGTATTCAAATTCAAATTCAAGTTTTGAGGTGTACGTACAGCTCAGCGTCGGCGGATGGGTTGTGTGGAAACCTGAACTTTTTGGGTTTAACATAGACCCATCAAAATAAATAAAATTTAAATATTAAATAGAAAGCAAAGTTTTTATTTATTTACATCTTTATATACACTCTAGCTTTCCTCCTCATCGTTCTATGGCGTCTGTTGTGTGGTGTGTGTGCGTGGGTTGGTGTGGTGTTCTCTTACTATGAAACGATCTGAATAAATTATTATAAATAAATAATTTTTTAATTAAAAATATTTCTTTTATTACTTCAATTCAATACACCAAGAGATACAAACAGCTGCATGCACGAATTCTATTTTATATATAAACGCTTTCTGTGCCTCAGTGGCATCCAGCATCTGTATGTGTTACCAACACCCCAGACCAGATACACCTCAACCCCTTTTTTTTTTTTTTTTTTTTTTTTTTTTTNTTTTTTTTTTTTTTTTTTTTTTTTTTTTTTTTTTTTTTTTTTTTAGCGATCCCAGGCGTTGCAGCACGTGTATGTTTGTGTCCCCTTTGCTGATGCATACACCGCGTGTGGGCGCGCTGAGGTGTACATACAGTACAACCCTAAACCCTAAACCCTAAACCCTAAACCCTCTGTCTTAGTATAGCTTGGGTGTACGTACACCTCAACGATGCACTTTTGCATTTCTTTTTTTGCTGGACACTCAAACAGAAGACCTCAAGCGAGTGAAATTAGAAAGAAACAAAAGGCAAATATTATATAGGTATATATAT